ATCTTTGAAAAAACTACGTAGGCCTATTGTATGTAATATATATATATATATATATATATATATATATATATATATATATATATATATATATATATATATATATATGCTCATATTTGCCTATGCATATATTTACCTGTTCCTCTTCGGTGTTTATAATCACCAGATCTGCACTTTGTTCCTGACAAAACTTTCTACTGTCTTGCCAAGACTTCTTGGTGGAAGAAATAAAATAAAAACTGGTATGAAAATACACCCATCCTTGTTGGATATACTTTCCTGTTGGATAAAGAAAAGCTTTTCAGTCTCATGTAATTCACAGTTTTCAACATAATTTGTAATAGAAATATTGTAAAGCTTTTAGTTCATAAATACCTTCTAAAGTGCATCAACAAGAAGTGCTATGATAACAACTTATTATAGATTTATTCTTTTCTATTGCATATTTCAAAGAGGTAGTCAGGTGTTTTATGATGCATTATGGTCTCTTCTAAGGCTTACTAAGTCCTCAAAATTAAAGAATATTGTGAATTATTTTGCTGAGTAAAATAAAATGCATTGACCAGCATCAGAATAATGTTTTTCTCTTACAGAATTTCAGCTCCATATAATGTTTGCGTATTATGAAAATCTGCTGGAAAACTCAATTTATCATGAAATGTTATTTAGGTCCATTCAAAGTCTAAATTGAGACCTTTTAAAAAGCCTTGGCAAGAGGAGTAAAATTGGGTTAAAGGTCAGATCTTAAGGGACTAATATGCCTTACAAGAGCCTGAAAGCTCTTGCATAGTTTATGATCATGTTGTAACACTATAACCATCAGATATATACAGGAAGATCATTCAGTGATGATTCTTTCTTACAGATATTTCATAAACTGTTTATGGTCTCATGTCTGAAGTCTATAAATAAGTGTTCCCCATAATGAGCTTGCTTTGGTCCTTATGCACTTACCAGTGAGAAATCTTTGCTGGTCTGTGTCATTTCTGCGAACAGCCGCTGTTGGTGATGGCAGAATAAGAGATTTCACTAACACAGTATAAAAATAATCAACACTCAGTCCACCAATAGTGGAAAGTGAGGTCATCTTAGGGAGGTTGTTATTATTTTAAGGAAAAAAGCATGAGCAAAGTGGAAAACCCCAAAACCCCCTCCTTTTTTT